TGGATGTCTGATTAAGCACACATGCAAAATGTGGCCATATCGTCCCTTTGAACTTGGTTGTAAAATCTTGATGTAACCTGTTAATAAGATGCTTTACTAATGCAGACATTAAAGGGGAATCAAAGGATATACTGACGCGTCGGTAGTATGATTGTGATCAACCCAACATGCTACTTTCCGTGTCGGGTGACATTTTGAATGTTGTCGTAGGGATTTAGAGACGATTGTTATCAGATTTCTTTCACCACATTGGCCAATATATTCCAAATATTAAACAACAAGCATTTATATTTGTTTATTTCTGAATAAAGCATGGTGTAAAAAATACAAATATAGGGCTTGTGCACTTTATTATGTTTGTCTTTGTGGGACAAGTTTTGACTGTCTTGGAAACTTACATCATTAAAATCATACATTTGGAATACTGAGTATACATATCCTTATTAGAGATTAGCACGCCATTAAATGTAACTGAATACAAACTACTTTATTTTGCTAGTTACTTAAAAAAAATATTGAAAATTGCAATAGAAATAAGCAATAAAATAAGCAGATTTGGAATATTGATTTCAATGGCTAAAGAATTCATTTGATGGAAATATCTATTTTACAGTGTTTCTTACGGGAGACTTTTAATGCATATTGTGTTCTTAAAGATAATGTTAAACAGTATACAAAATTTAGGAGAATTCTATCTTACTTAATAAATAAGTTTACCTTTTTCGCCAAAACTTATTGTTGCAAAATTCGGTTTTCTACAGAAAAAAAATAAATCTTACTTTTAAATGATGAATCTCAAAGGATTAATTTCAATTTCAATTCGCAATAAAATGTTACAATCTATAGAAATAGATAAAATGGATTCGAATAATACACGTGGATATATAGTTATGCATTCAATCAAAAACAATACAATGAAAAAACATGTCACAGACACTTATTTTTAATTCGATTAATGTGTTTAAAAAGATACATTTGGAAAATGGTAACATATAAGGGAACAATGAGAGTATATATGTAGTTTATTATTTCAATTTAATTTTAAAGATTTTGCGTGTTATGGCTATTTGCCAATCGTTAAATTAACAGTTCTTGGTTCATTCCCCCCAAAAGAACAAATACACATGTTCTAAATGTGATGCTGCTGATTTTCTTCTTGGAACTCTGATTCACTTGTTTGTCTTCTTCTTGCCCTGGAAAAGATTACCATTTTTCATCATTACAAGCTTGTTGCTTCCACAAAAGGTATTAAAAAGAAATTGTGATAAACAAGAAATATGGCACGCCAAATTCACAAAAATGAGCAAAACATAGTTTCACAGTCGATAAACTAGGTTTATCGGTCGTAAACCATAGTTTATGGACTTAAAACTATAGTTAACAATCTGTATTTTACAATTGTAAACCATAGTTAACGCGAAAATCTATGTTTCACAAGCGAAAACTATACTTTACACCATAAACACTCATTTGAGATCGCAAAACATGGATTATCTGACAAATGGTTTACAACTCTTAACTATAGTTAACGATCGTAAATTATAGATTACAGATGTGATTCTATATTTATCAACAAAATCTATTGTAAATCTTTTATTACAGACAGATAAACTTAGATTAGCATTCGTAATCTATAGTTTACAACCGTTAAATATAGTTTTACAGATAAAAACTATAGTTAACGAATTGTAAACTAAAGCTCACGGTTTGTAAACTATAGTTTACAGTCGATAAAGCTAGTTTATCAATTGAGAAACTATGTTTCAGCACGCCAATTTCACAAAAATGATCTAATCATAGTTTCCCAGTCGATAAACCAGGTTAATCGGTTGTAAACCATAGTTCACGGACTGTAAGCTATAGTTAACAACGTTAATCTATATTTTACATTTGTAAACCATAGTTAACGCGATAATCTATGTTTCACAGGTGTAAATTATACTTAACACCAAAAACAATCTTTTGCGATCGCAAAACATGGATTATCTGATAAATACAGTTTCACGATTTGTAAACTATGGTTTACAACTCTTAACTATAGTTAACGATCGTGAATTATAGATTACAGACGTAAATCTATGTTTATCAACAAAATCTATTGTTAACGTTTTATTGCAGACAGACAAATATGGCACTTCAAATCCACAAAAAATGAGCAAAACATAGTTTCACAGTCGATAAACTAGATTTATCGGTTGTAAACTATAGTTTATGCACTGTAAACTATGGTTAACAACGTTAATCTATATTTTACATCTGTAAACCATAGTTAACACGAAAATCTATGTTTCACAACCGTAAACTATACTTAACATCGAAAACAATCATTTGCGATTGCAAAACATAGATTATCTGATAAATACAGTTTCAAGATTTGTAAACTTTAGTTTACAAACCGTTAATTATACATGTAGTTAACGATCTGATAAATATAGTTTCACGATTTGTGAAACTATGATTAAAACTCTTAACTATAGTTTACGATTGTAAAATATAGTTTACAAACGTGAATCTATGTTTATCAACAAAATCTATTGTTAACGCTTTATTCAGACTGATAAACTTAGATTAGCATTCGTAAACTATAGTTAACGACCGTTAAATATAATTTTACAGATGAAAACTATACTTAACGAATCGTAAACTATAGTTTACGGTTTGTTAACTATAGTTTACAGTCGATAAACCTAGTTTATCAATTGTGAAACTAGGTTTATCTCATTTTTGTGAATTTGGCGTGCCATATATAAACTTTGTAGTTTAATAGATTTTTGAGCTTGAATACTGTTCGTTATCTCCACATATTTCATTTACGTTTCATTTTCCCCAGTCTAAATATCTAAATAGCATGTATTGCCTTTAACTAAAACTTGAACTAAAGCTAGTTTTGAGAATTGATGTCTCTCCTGTTATTTGCTGATCTAAAGAAGGGAGGTCAAAAAGGTGGGGGGGGGAGTGAAAGGTATGCGGGGCAATAGGGAGTTATGGTTCATACAAGATGGGGGAATAAAGCGGGCAAAGTGACAATTATTGCAACACACATAAGTCAAAAGTTAAATCTCACTTTTATCTAATTTTTCTTTGATATCTTATCTCCAAGATTAACATTAGATTAACATTAAACTTTTCAAAAAGTTTAACCCGAGCGCAGGCTCTTTTAAATATGTTGTATTTCCAACAGTTCTACACATTCTGTCCTTTTGAGAAATTTGGGCAAGAATCGTTCACCATGTATTCCAGCTCTAAAGATCGGAATAACTTTGAATAACAATGGAAATTCTGAAGTTTCTTTTTTTGTAATTTGGGAAATAGATCAAGAAGTTGACCAAAAAAAAAAAAATCACGTCAAACGTATTTTCAATAAGAGTAAGTAGTTCGACTGTATCGACCAGAATTTCCTCTGCTTTTCAAAACTTCTGCTTTTACTTTTATCAATGTATAAAAGACAATACCATTTATGTAACGAATTAGTGATTTTTTTTTTGAAAAAGCGTGCATGTACATTCTTCGTTAATGATAATGAATATTGATTCAGTTTCCAATTTGATCGCCAAAATTCCGCAAAATTTTAGTGCTTCGGGTAAAGTCTACAACACAGTAAAATTTCAAACGATGGAGAACCCTGTATGCTAATTCAAATAAATTTTGATTGTTTTGAATATTATGAAAATTATTCAAAACTGACGTATGGTTTTGAAAGATATAGAAAGGTTACAGAGAACGGTCTTAACTTTTGACAGCCAACACACAATTACTCTCGTTGTATTTCCCTTAAGGAGCCATATTAATTTTAACAATAATATAAACCTTTGCCTCGCAAACAAATTGGTGGTGGTGGTTAATTAGCCAATTGTATGTGTATTTTTTTTCAAATTCTTTGTTTTGCAGTTAGGATGGTGTACTTTGCTTTCCTTTATAAGATGGAACAAACATCAATGTTCTCAAACTATATATAGGGACCTTAGTGTTCCTCACTTTTTTAAAAGCAAGGGAACATTAAATTTGATTCGACTGTCTCTCTGTCAATCCGTCAGTCTGTCAGTTTGTCAGTCTGTCATTCTGCCCGCCTGTCACAAAAACTTCAACCTTGGTCATAATTATAACTTATGGATGATAAGAGATAGGGTTTTCATACTTTACGTGAATATTACAAATAACATTGCTATAATCCCGTTGTACATTTTCAAAGAAAAAGGTGAAAAGGATATTTATAACAGTATTACATTAAAGTTTTAGAATTCAGAGAATTTAAACCAAATATTACAAATTTTTAAAGTTAGTTTTTTGTTTTGAAGTTTAGAACCTTAATGCAACAAAAGTACAACCGCTTACCAGTAAGTAGATTTTAATATTGTCACATCAGTATCATGACTTCTTTTAGAACTAAACAAAAATCTTGAAGTAAGATAACAATTAGAAGAAAGACGAAGCCTCAGAAAACTGGCAAAATGATGCCTTAAAAATCCTGAAAATTGTCTTGAATAAAAGCTAATGCATGGACACAAATTTATATCAAGGTTCAAAAACCTCTGCTCAGTCATATTAAATGTATCCTGAACCTGAAAGTTCTTCAAACGAAATGTATTTTATAAGTAAAAAACAAACAATTATAGCATAGCTAAGGGGGCAAAATTGGAGAAAAAGACAATTCAGCTTTGCCAATCTATAAATGAATACTAGACATTTTTGTCATTAAGAGTTATCTCTCTTATAAGACTATCAATGAACTTTAAATACCTTTAAACACAAAGATAACCTTATATCAATTATAAAATCTTAAACGTCGATAATTGTGAAAATTTTACATTAATCGGATACCATGTTTCTTCTTTAACTTGTTTTTATTTGACTCAATGTACATGATAAAATATCCTTTCGTTTTTGAGTTTCTAATCTTGTTCCACATCACCTTTTCTGTTACATCTAGATGTGTAAGATCAGTTTCCTATAAAACGCGGAAACTTTTGGAAATATTCATCTAAACATTTGCGCCTTTAAAGCAGAGATGTATTTATCATTCACACGGAATTTGTATCAGTTGTTCAAACTTAAGAGAACTTGAAAAATGAGTGTAGAAATCAAAAGGGGATTATTGCAATTTGCTTTTCTTCGTTTCATAGTATTATTGATGTTTCTGCCTACTAGTGAATCATCTCCGATATGTAATGGGTAAGTATACAGTGCTTTTTATTTTATTTCAAACAACAAATAGATCTATAAAGTACATGTATATCATTGTGAATAAATATGCTTTGTAATCTATTACAGAGGATGTTGTCCTAACTATTACCTAGATCATTCTGGAAATGATTGCATCCGTAAGTTCTCATCAAGAATGAAACGATGTTTTTTTATTTTCTATATTTATTTTTTAAAAAAAATCAAATACAAATTATAATAAAAGATATATACATAAATCCTTTGCCTTTAAAGCCTGTGAAAAGGGATATTTTGGCCTGAACTGTTCTTCCCGATGTCCTTCGTCCTTTTACGGACTCAGGTGCGTTCTGAAGTGTAACTGTTCCCATGCTCTTTGTCACCATCAAAACGGATGTGTTCATTTTTCCACTAGTAAGGTTACAATTATAATGGAACGTTTCTAGTGATAAGTGCATATCAGGCGTAACAATTTTATAAAGATATTGGATTTGAAGTTCTCTATGAAAGATTTAATCAATGTGTTTATACCTATCTTTTACGTCTCTATCTCGTACTTTTCTTTTAGATGGAAAAATAAAAACAGAACAATCAACGTTAATTCTTCTTAAATCCACGATTTCAGCATTTGATCTCAAATCTGAGGAAAACTTCAAACAAGGTAAATAGAAAAAAAATACTTATTTCTTCGTTTCATTTCGCCGGAAGAACTATGAGGATTTTTTTTTATGATCGACAAATCCATGTTTTTATATTCTTCGTTTACTTGCCTATCTCGTACTTTTCTTTTAGATGGAAAAATAAAAACAGATCAATCAACTCTTTTTAAATCCACAATTTCAGCATTTGATCTCAAATATGAAGAAAATTTCAAACAAGATGAATAAAAAAATCCTTTCTTCGTTCAATTTCGCGGAAGAACTCTGAGCAAATATTTCTTTTTATCATAGACAGATAAATATTATATGATATTTCGTAAACATTTTCTTTTTCACGCTTTGTACTTATTTTTCAAAATGTAATTCTGGCCATAATTTACCAGCTTCTTTTAAATTAGAATGACTTTTAAGGTTTTATGATATTCACTTTTCATATATATGTAGAGATATAATAACCATTATTTCAGATGATGTCAGTAAACCAAAAAGTCCCTGCGAACCAAAATACAAGAATAAATGGACGAAAACAAAGGCATCCGTATTAATTGCTACAATATTCCTCTTGGGCTTTGCAATTTGTCTTTTTGGTGCTTATTTGAAAACTTGTAAAACATTCCAGGAAAAGAGAACACCGATAAACTCAACTTAGCATGAAAAAAGGTTTATAGAACTGAGAACATAAATACCCAATCTTGCTTTATAGCAATTTATTAAAGACAGCACTGACATTTTTACAGATTTATTTATCATGACTTTTGATGATGCGACGACAAAAAGTAATGATTGCAAGCATTAATGAGACGTTCATTGATGAACTGGGAGAATTAAATGTTCAACTTAAAAACGGACAACATAGATGACCTCATGTAATTGACTTACATATGTAAGCCTGCCTGTCAAACTCCAATGTGTCGAGCATACAGCTCTACCATACCTGCGAAAATGGTAGCGGGTTGTGCAATCACTGTCGTGGCTTATGATTATGTTAAATTTCATAAAGTTTTAATTCATCATTATTTTTTAAGAACCTTGGATATAAGGAAACGTTCTCTCAAATTTCAGTAAGGATTGATTATATGGTTTGCATTTTACAATCCTTTATACAATGACGACATACACATACTATTAATATCTAGACGATTTCTCTAATCAATGAGAATCTATTGGACTAAACAGTTGACCACATCGCTTGTCCAATTTTATGTGCTTCAAATGCTTATTCTGAACCCAACAATTACTTGGGATAGGTATTTTCTTATGTGGCCCAACAAGTCCTGCAGCTAAGTACTGCATGCTATGACGGAAAGCGTAATTTCATTTGAACATGCTTAACTGAAAAAGGCAAGGTGAAAAAGGAAAGAAAACGACATAGCCATTGCTAACTTTTAAACTATTTTTCTCCTCTTTATTAAAAAATATAATGAATATTTATAATTCAAGAAATTGACGATCGTTCCAGTACAGTAATTTTAGGCGCAGATTTAATTCTAAGGTACCCTGACAACTAAATTAGTCGTCAATGTGATCAGTGAGATATTATAACATATTTGAACAAAACATTAATTGGTTATAAAAGTTTTGCTATGAATGATTTTTCTTCAGTGTAAATATTTCTTCAGGGGGAGGAAGACCACGTGCTGTGCTCAAAATACTGTTGTCGCTTTATTAAATGAATACTATAGGAACAAAATTCTATTTAGCTGTGTCCCCTAAAAAATAACATCTGTTACTTTTTTATTGTTGTGCTCTCCCCTCCCTACTGAAATTGCTTTCTTATGGAATTTTATAAATGCTGTTTCCCTTTTTTTTGCAAAGCGTTAAGCACAATGTTCTTTTGATTCGAAATTTAAGTAAAAATAATTTGAAATTAAGGACTAATTTAAAATCATTTTTACTTAACTTTCGAATCAAAAGAACGTTGTGTTTCAAGTATCCTGAAACAATGTGCAAAGTATATTAGAAAAAAAACAGAAATTGAAGTTAAAGACAAACGTCTTCCAAAAATGGTCCATTAATACACAAAAAAAGAAGCCTGCAAAGTTAAACTAGAACAGTCGAAAATAAAAGGACAAATACATCCCGGTAAGTTTTTTTTAGAGAAGGTGCCAATTCACAAATATTTTAAAGATCTAGGTGATGTTCACAGTTTGGTGAACCATTTATTAAAAATATTTTACCATGAATGAAACTATGGTGCAGTCTAAAAACGCAGGTTTAATAAGGGAGCATACAGAAAATTTTGCCTTGATTTAATCAGTGATACATTATGACGTCATAGTAGGCGAGGTGACGTCAATTTTGCAACACAGGTTTACGTAATATTGATATTTAGAGATGTAATGTAACTCTAGAATATGAATAAAAACGTGTTAACATTACCAAAAACAAAATGTTTTTATTTTGTTATGCGGTATCTGTCATTTCAATTAAAATCTACCACCGATGACGTTATATGTGTACATCAAGTAACTTGGGAATCGATCATGTCGTGTAAAGAGAATTTCGATTAGACGGCATGTACAAAGATACGTAAAATGTAGTTTAAAAGCAAATGTCGTGAATATTATGTGAAATTCATACGGAGCTAAGTTAGTTAAACAGGTATGCTAATCTACTTTCATTGACTATATTTTTTTTCGAAGATAGTCAGCTATATAATTATACCGTTCGGCTCTTCCTCTGTCATTCGTGACAAAATAATGCAACAGAACAACAATAACCTGGATATTTCAAAACATAAGATTTGTACAGATGGAAAGTTTACCTAAAATACTTGGAAAGTGCTGCTAGAATCCCGAGTTAAGCATGGTTTTACGAAAAATCTCGGTTCATATGTATAAAACGCATAACATCGGGTAGGGTTTCGTGTGAATATGTGGAATAACTATATTACTACCAGAACATTGGGATTCTAGCTGCAAAATATATTTCTTTTCGACTATGTCATTTACTCAAAGAAATAATTAATCTCCGGGGTACTGTTCTGAGAGCTTTTTTTATTAAGGAACATTTTGCTATTAATAGAAGTCACGTGATCCTTTGGTGGTGGCGCACGTCTTTGCGTTAAACAGTCTCCTACATGTATCTTTATGCAATAGTTAATAATAGTTTACGTTTATCAAAGGTTTTGGTAAATATCTGACTTAATTTTCTTTATAATGTCTAAATTTCCCGAGGTATGATTTATATCTTCCTTTACATACCCGCGAGGAATCAATCCTACTGTCACTGATCTTGTAAAGCCATGACACACCATCAGGACGTTAGTAAGTTTTGGGATCTCACCATACTTATGAAGAAAGTCTTAAACAGGACATGTATTTTGAAAGTTTTTTGTTAGTGACGTGAAGTGTGCCCAAATGACCTTAGGTAAAAGTCATGATATACTCTGAGGTCATGAACAATCTTTTTGTGAATATAGTAGATTTTAATTTCCGCTGTAAGAAAGATAAGGAAGTTTGCACAGAGAGACAGACAGCTAGACATACATACGGAAAGGTTTATTCCTTTATAACCCCTTAATCTGATATGGAATAAAAATAGTAGGCACTAAAAATGAATAAATAAACAGTAAGTGTTTTTATTTTTTTTATTGAGGAAACAGATATACAAGTATGCTTCAAAGACATTGCTCGACAAAATTAGAAAGCCATTATATTTTAGTTGAAACATTTAAGTACATGTGCTTGAAGCTGTTATCTCAATGTATTTTGCAATATGACATGTGGCTTTTTTTTCTTTTAATGTAGTATTTCTGTATAAGTACTTTTGATGAACTAGTACTATGGAAATTACCTAATCCTTGCAATATATCTTTTACTGTAAATTCCAACATTTAATTTTCAGTCCCATTTAACAATTTACATTCTTATTTCGCTATGTTACATTCTAATTTAACGATAAGACATTCCCATTTTAGTATTTTATATTCACATTTTACCATTTTTCAAAAGACTCAGGTGAGCTTTTCTAATTGAAATTTATCTGTTGTTTGTCGTTGTCGTGTTTGCTGGCTTTGGAGTTGTCCTTGTAAAGATGTACATTTTGCATAATTTCATCTTCTCCGGTTTTACGAAAAATCTCGGTTCATATGTATAAGTTGTATAACATCGGGTAGGGTTTCGTGCGAATATGTGGAATAACTATATTACTACCAGAACAGTGGGATTCTATCTGCAAAATTTATTTCTTTTCGACTATATAATTTACTCAAAGAAATAATTAATCTCCGGGGTATTGTTCTGAGAGCTTTTTTTATTAAGGAACATTTTGCTATTAATAGAAGTCACGTGATCTCGCAGTGGTGGTGCACGTCTTTGCGTTAGACAGTCTCCTACATGTATCTTTATGCAATATTCAATGATAGTTTACGTTTATCAGAGGTTTTGGAAGATTATCCAACTTAATTTTCTTTAAAAAGTCTAAATTTCCCGAGAAATGATTTATACGCTTCCTTTACATACCCACAAAGAATCAATCCTACTGTCACTGACCTTGTAAAGCCATGACACACCATCAGGACGTACGTAAGTTTTGGGATCTCACCATACTTATGAAGAAAGTCTTAAACAGGACATGTATTTTGAAAGTTTTTTGTTAGTGACGTGAAATGTGCCCAAATGACATAAGGTAAAGCTCACGACATACTCGGAGGTCATGAACAATCTTTTTGTGAATATAGTAGATTTTAATTTCCGCTGTAACAAAGATATGGAAGTATGCACAGATAGACAGACAGCTAGACTTACATAAGGAAATGATTCCTTTATAACCCCTTAGTCTGCTACGGAATAAAAATAGTATGCACTAAAAATAAATAAATAAACAGTAAGTGTTTTGATTTTTTTTATCGAGGAAACAGATATAGAAGTATGCTTCAAAGAGATTGCTCGACAAAATTAGAAAGCCATTATATTTTAGTTGAAACATTTAAGTACATATGCTTGAAGCTGTTATCTCAATGTATTTTGCAATATGACATGTGGCTTTTTTTCTTTTAATGTAGTATTTCTGTATTAGTATTTTTGATGAACTAGTACTATGGAAATTATCTAATCCTTGCAATATATCTTTTACTGTAAATTCCAACATTTAATTTTCAGTCCATTTAACAATTTTACATTCTTATTTCACTATATTACATTCTAATTTAACGATGATATATCCCCATTTTAGTATTTTATATTCACATTTTACCAAGACTCAGGTGAGCTTTTCTAGATGAAATTTATCCGCTGTTTGTCGTTGTCATCTTTGCTGGCTTTGGAGTTGTTGTCTTTGCAAAGATGTAAATTCTGCATAATTTTATCTTCTCCGGTACAACTGGGCCAATTTCAACCAAACATGTCAAGTTTGTTCAAATAAAAGTTCAAACCCTCCTCTAAGGGTAGATATATAGAAAATGGCAAAAAATTAAGGGCATAATTGAAAAATCTTCTTCTCAAGAACGAACGGCCATCAAAGATGAAACTTATGTAGAATCATTGTCCGATAGTGTAAATTTAAGTTAGTTCAAATCATGACTCCTTAAGGGTTGGGCCGGGCCATAATGAATGATTAAACTTTTACATATAGGAAAAATCTTTTAAATTTTGCTTCTCAAGTACAGCAAAGTAATCATGACTTAAACCTATGTGGAAGCATTCTTACGTGGTGTAAATTGATTTTTTTTCAAAACATGACCCTCGGAGGATACATATTCTAAATTGCAGGGGAGAAATCAAAGTCTATAGATATGTTGGCATCTTAGTTATTGTAGATTTTTATGTCCATCAAATCATACCCCACCCCATCTTCCCCTCTTAGGGTAGGTCGGGAACATTTATGCATTTAAGCTTGTCAATACTCAAATGATTTTTACTTTTTTACCTTTTAATTATAGAAAATTGTGGTTATGGAATCATATTTCATGACTCTTCTCTCAAAATATTGAAAGGGTTATTAGCCATTATGTGAAAAAATTGATAACTTGATTCTGCATTTTTTTCAGGTAAATTGAATGATTTTAGTTAAATCTTTATCTTTTCTATGTTCGATACAATGACCTTGTCAGCAAATACAATTTTCATTGAGACAAATACTGACTGACGATTTTCAGTCAATACTAATTGTTAGTCCATTATTCATACACTGAATTGACGACGGATTTTTCCATTATTTCCCGATCATGTCAAGGAGCACAAGGCGGTTGAGACCTGTCAGCAGGGGATGATCACTCCTCCATGACACCTGATCCCACCTCTAATGTTTCAGAGGTCTGTGTTTGCTCTGCTTTTATTTTGTATTGTTTTATGGACTTTGATATTTAATAACTGTTCGATTTCGTTATCTCCATATCCTTCTGATAGGGAAGGGAATCTCATATAAACTTCATTATTGTCATCTTTTGATAATTTGTATTTGTTTTGACCAATTTCCGCAATAAATCGATTGAGTAATTTTTAGAAAAAGTTTCACTTGAAAATAATTAATA